AGATAGAAGAGTTTGTTGAATCTGACGTGACATGTTCGTACGAACCCTTTGTACGAACAAAAGTAAGAGAAATTTAGGAGAAGAATACGAACATGTTCTTGCATGGGGCATAATGTCTGTAAAAAATGACTAAATTATAATCATTACTTTTTTCTAAATTACTTGTCTGTGCCAGCAATCTTGAATTTGTTTCGCTCAAAAAGGCAATCAGTTGTTGAAGTACACTCACCGGCCACTTTAGGTACACCTTGCTAGTACTGAGTTGGACCCCCTTTTGCCTTAAGATCTGCCTTAATCCTTCGTGTCATTGATTCAACAAGGTACTGGAAACATTCCTCAGAGAGTCTGGTCCATGTCGATATGATAGCATCACGCAGTTGCTGCAGATTTGTCGGCTGCACATCCATCATGCGAATGCCCCATTCCACCACATCACAATGGTGCTCTATTGGATTGAGATCTGGTGACTGTGGAGGCCATTCGAGTACATTGAACTCATTGTTGTGTTCAAGAAATCAGTCTGAGATGATACAGTATGTGCTTTAAAATTATTTTATTTATCATCCAATTCATGTTCCAATCCAATGACAAAATTTGTGCTCTGCATTTAACCCATCACACGTGAGAAACACCCAAGCGGAGCAGCTTTATGACATGGTACGTTATCCTGCTGGGATTAACCATCAGAAGATGGTACACTGTGGTCATAAAGGGATGGACATGGTCAGCAACAATACTCAGGTAGGCTGTGGCATTGACATGATGCTCAATTGGTACCAATGGACCCAAAGTGTGCCAGGAAAATATCTCCCACACCATTGCACCACCACCAGCCTGAACGTTGATAGAAGGCAGGATGGATCCATGCTTTCATGTTGTTGACGCCAAATTCTGACCCTACCATCTGAATGTCGCAGCAGAAATCGAGACTCATCAGACCAGGAAACATTTTTCCAATCTTTTATTGTTCAATTTTGGAAATCCTGTGTGAATTGTAGCCTCAATTTCCTATTACCAGCTGAAAAGAGTGGTACCCGGTGTGGTCTTCTGCTGCTATAGTCCATCTGCCTCAAGGTTGGATGTGTTGTGTGTTCAGAGATGCTCCTCTGCCTACCTCGGTTGTAATGAGTGGTTATTTCAGTTACTGTTGTCGTTCTATCAGCTCAAACCAGTCTGACCATTCTCCTCTGACCTCTGGCATCAACAAGGCATTTCCGCCCACAGGACTGCCACTCACTGGATATTTTCTCTTTTTCGGGACATTCTCTGTAAACCCTAGAGATGGTTGTGYGTGAAAATCCCAGTAGATCAGCAGTTTGTGAAATACTCAGACCAGCTCGTCTGACACCAACAACCATGCCACGTCCAAAGACACTCTTGGCCATGTCTACATGCCTAAATGCAGGGTTGTATTGTTACTAAGTACCAATACTTTGTTACAGTACTAAGTATTTTCAGCCTACTTTTTACTTCCACTGGTTACATTTTTACACAATAATCTGTACATTCTACTCCTTACATTTTTTTAAAAAGGTAAGAAGTAGAAAGTTGCTTCTCCTATTTCATTTCAGATTGTTGATGTAAAAAAATACTATCCTGAAAAATTGTTGCTCCTGGATAGAGTGAATTTAATTATGGTTGAATGAGAAGTGTAAATATATACCATTCTGATACTGTATATAGTTTGTATACAATTAATCAAAGCTGCAGGCGTCTAGAAAAAAAAATTGAAGAGGTCACCTCCCAGTAAATGTACAGTATTTTAAAAAATCGAACCATTTATTTTTACTCATTACATTCACTTTCAATACTTAAGTAAATTATATGCCAGAAATTAACTTTTGATACTTAAATACAAAATAAATCAGATATTTTAAGACTTTTACTCAAGCAAAATTTTTAGAGGAGAGTTGAACTTTTACCGGAGTAATTTTATGATAAGATACTTGTACTTTTACTCAAGTATCACTTTCAGGTACTGTATACAACACTGCCTAAATGCATTGAGTTGCTGCCATGTGATTCGCTTATTCAACATTTGCGTTAATGAGCAGTTGGACGGGTGCATCTAAAAAGGGGGCCAGTGAGTGCAAAGCTAATTATCATTTTCTTAAAATCTTAAAAACAAACAAAACAAAACAAACAAAAAAACTGTTGAGTCATTCATGAAAAATTTTGCCAAAAAAGTGACTTCAAATAGCTAATGGTAAAGCATTTAAACAAAGATCTTGTAGAAACTGTTAAAACTCAGTGTTTTGATAACAACAAAACACATTACCATGGAAATGATCAGTTTAAAAAAAAATGTATGTGCAATGTTCCAACAACCCGAAAACCTAAGTAATGCCACATTGGCTTGTGGGTTTATTTCTTTGTAATAATTTAAACAATCCAGTGTAGTTACTGTAACTAAATTAAGGTTACATCACTAAATGACTCTCATTACATAAATAACTCTGTTGATCACGCCTCCTGACAGTCGGTTGTCTCTCTAATAGTTATCACATGCCATTACTGTAATCAGATAAACGTACGACACAAAGCAACTTATTCACTTTCTCATTACATCATTAGCTTAGCCATGCATCAGAACTTAAAAGCCTCTTTTTAGAACAGCAAGCAACACATGCTTTCCTTTTTTTAAAATATTATGGCTATAATTAATAGAGGGAAAAAAGATGGTGGACAATAACAATTGTGCCCA